ACGGTCACATGTCTGAGGAAACTATCAGATGAATTCAGATACTTCCGTTTGACTTTGTTTGATAAAACGAACCCAAAGCTGACGGAACTCTGTTTTAAACGTTTCTCTTATGGTAACCGTTTAGTGGCCAATGTGTTGGGGACAATACCAAGTTTTGAATTACCCTGCGGAGCTGTTTTCTGCATTTGTCTGTCAAGTTAACATGGAAACCCTGCCTAAGATGGGCTTCAAAATATTTCGAATCTATTAAGGAATTAAGCTGGTGAGGAACAACAGATATTCACAAGGTCTCTGTTCTTGTGGTATGCGGATAATGTTCGAACGAGCGCTTTCGTTTAGAAATATTCTTGTGCTCCAGTTGTTCAGCAACTGTTTTTTGGCGAAATGGGTTGTACTCGCGATTACAGTCTCAGTTGGCATTGAAGCAGTATCTTAGAAACGAACTTCATTTGTACGTGCAAACGATCTGAAGCAACTGCATAGAACGGTGAAATCGCTTACACGTACTGCCAAGAAGTACACAAGAAGAGCTGAAGTAATCTTTGTTCGTGGAACTTTCCCACACTTAAAAAGCAAGATTGCGGACTGATCCTTTTCCCCTTAAACTGCTTGATCGTCTCAGCAATATATATTAGTTAGACATACATATTTTAAAGGATTTCACAATTGCTTCATTCCCTCAGGCCATCTACACTTTTCTGTTACTCTCTCATTCGATATTATTGAATTCATATCACCAATTTCCTGACCTCTTGTAACGTCGAACCACGTTCTGGACTCTCACCCATTCTGGTTTTATGAGTTGTTACTTCCACAGTCTGCGGCGAATTTCAATTGCCAAATAGTGCGTATGGGAACCATTTCTTTAATTTTTTTCATTCATGACTTAGTAACCTCAAGATGTCTAATAGTAAGAGACCTTTCTGACGTAAGGATAGCCCCTCTATTAAACATTTTCGCCAGACAGTGACAGAAGGCAGGAAATTTGGCATGCAGCATAGTAAAAATGGGGTTGAAAGGTACGCGTTCTTTGTATCTCACAGCATTTCCTATCACCGTCTTCATGAATACAGTGTTCTCGCTTGGGATGAAGGTTATTTGCGCTTACGTTTTACGAGTCGTGTGATCTAAATCTAGAGACTCATGCCGAGTAGTGCAGCCGAACCATTTGTTTTTCGATATTTAAACGCGGCCTCGTAAAATGTTGGCCACTTTGGCTTCGTCGAATTTGGACCGTATTTTCGCCCCTTCCTCCGCATCAGAGTAAGCGGTATGTCATATGTTTATTTTTGTTTCCAAGCCCGATTTAAGATTCCTTACTAAAAATTGGTGTTTGTTGAATTCTGACTTCTGTCGGTTCAGATGTCATATTGTTTCTTCTAGGGAACCAGTGGCTAGATTTATTAGCGAATTCAAGCACGTGCAACGAGGTGCCACATGGCAAGCGACGCCGCACTTTTGCAATGGTCGTCCTCCGTCGTCAGAAGAAATGCCGCCGTGCTTCAACCCAGAGGTAGGTTGGGAAGGCGTGTCACTCGAGGAATTCCTCAATTGTTCGTCGAATTTCGGCTTCAACCGCATGACTCGCATGTTGTCTGATTTGACTACGGTAGGCTGTTACAGCCGGTCATTACTCGACCCGAACTCGCGAAGCGCACTGATCTTGGAGTCGGCGAAGAACAATCTGCGAAAAATGGCTTTTTTTGGACTGCAGGAGGACATGCGCCGTTCGCAGTACGTGTTCGAGGAACTGTTCAGTCTTCGCTTTAATAAGCCGATGGTTAACCAGATGGAGCAGAGTGATCCCGCCGAATTCACTGTCACTCAGCTGGAGCATATTAGAAACGCGAACCGGCTAGACATCGAGATCTACAACTTTGCCCGCCAACTATTCTACAAACGATTTCAACTGCTAAAAGCCAAAGATAGTTTTTACGAATTAAATATGGCTGTCTGATTTTGAAAACCTTGTTTTACGGCCTTCTTTCATTTGAGTATTGTATAATATATTTTTTGTTGTCCTCATCAAGTTATCGACTGTCGTTTTACTTGACCGAAGTAAACTCATGATTATCGTCATGTTCGTTTTGCTTTTCTGCAACGACGATCTTCAGTCAATCATCAGTCATACAGCTGATGTTTTCGTTATCCGCGTTATTGTCTTTTCGGTTGCTTGCTCTATACTTGTGCTTACTTGCCTGTTTGGGAGTCCAGCTGCTTAGGACCGTGGTATGATTGGCCGCGACGATGACCACGGTCGCCAGGGACACGTTGCCTGTGTTCGTGTTTCCGACGCAGCTGAACATCTTCGTGCAGGAACGGGAGAGTGCGCGGCAGCTGCTGACCATCTACAACCCGTACAACTTCGTCATCGAGTATAGACGTACGCGCTATTGTCGCTTTGAATGTCATACTGGGTGGTAATCGTTTAGAATTTAGTACTGTGCACAGATCCTCTCAGCTACAGCGTTCAGGAAGCGTTAGGACGGTTGAAACCTCAGAGTTTCGTTGATATGTAAGCACTTTACTGTTAACATTTTTTGTCTGCTTGATGACTATCGACTCGTCGACTCGGTGCTAAGATCATCGCAGTGATCAGATGACTACTGTCATCGAATACGCGGGCACTTAGACTATTATACTCTTATTGAAATTCACAAGGATTTTAACTGTTGCTGTGTTTCTTGTCACCATTTGATACGGCTGACTCTCCAGTGTATTTTTTTCGTGATGCCAAAACTGTTTGCCGTTAGATAAAGCCCAGCTCCGTCGTTGTGAAGTCTCATCTATAGAGTCCATCAATGACTTTTTCTGCCTGTTAGGTGACGTTTTCTGGAACGGGTCTTACACTACAGAATATAATGTCCTCCGTAACAGAAAACTTAAAACTTTTATTTCTTTACTCTGCCAGAGGAATAATTGATATCGATCGTTGTTTGGAAGTTTCCTTGGAAAGTCCTTTCGGTGCCACTTATTAATGTAGCGCTCGTGCTCTTCTCGGTTTATTTTATATGTGAATGTTCTATTCCAGCATGATCCCTCAAATATCTAGCGCCTTGGTTTTATTTTTAATGGGGTTTTTTCTTATTACGGCATTCCTCCAGACCGGCAAAACACACGCTTAAATTCTGTATCTTGGACTCTGCTTCAGAACTTTAGTCGCTACTGTTCAGGTATCTAAGGCGTATGTTAGTATATTACAAATCTTCCTCGTAAATTTTTATCTCTGGGGCATACGGTAAAGGAAGGATATTGCAACCTTGGTAGTTTCAGTTTTTGTCCGTACACAATATTTCACTGACCTACTGGTAGCTCTTTCCCGCAGATTGCCATGCGTAGCGGACTATGTTTCGGAATTTTAGTCGCTGTGATCCTGGATCCGAAACATCTGACTGTGTTGACGTATCGTCGCTGTGAATCTTTATCTTAGCAACATGCTCTACCAGATTTATGTCATAGAGGAAAGACTTTGCCCATCAGCGGTTTTAGTATAACCCGTACCGGGTGCTGGCTGTTTTAATGGGTGTTAGTGTATTGTAAATTTTTTCCGCATAAGTTGCAAGACCGCGATGTCTTGAGCATGTTTGAATTCTTTTGGCCAGCATCCTGCTAGTGGCAGCGTTACTTTTCTGTCAAAGTCCATGGTAGCCTCCGTCATCATCACATTAGTATAATTAACATAGCTAATGTAGATCGAGCCCTGCATACACGGCTGTCGATCGTCCGTGATCATTTTGTATATTCAGATCATTACTCATGTGGTGAAGTAAGTGTTCTTCAAGATGTTAAAGATTGTTTCCATGTCATGAACATATTTGGAGACTTGGCCTGCTAGAGGGTCTTTTAGGTTTATCGCGACTTTCCCGCATACCCGGTGTGAACAGCTTATTGAGTCATGCTTTATGACATAACATACACTTCCCAACTTAAACCACCAGACCCTATCCGTAACCTGAATATTACGTATGTCGGATTTAACTCACCTCACCCGTTAATCATCTATTGGTTGCGTCTTAATTACGTATTCAGTAATACATTAACATGCTTTAATGGTTGTTTCTGTTAGTTTCATTCACATGATGGACACATCAAATTTCATTATACAGTTACTATTGCAAACAAATATAATACAGCATAAGCAGTATTAGAAAATGAATAGGAGAAAAAGTATTTTATTTTGCCGTTCTACCTTTCGTATAATCAAGGGATGACTGAACAGTGGCGAAAGAGGCAGATCCTTGCACATGTTCCTTTGTTCCTTCGCATCCTTCGTAGTTGTGTTCACTATTGATGATGCAAGATGAAGTTCACGTCCTAGGGCCGTTAAGTTTTGCCCATATAAATTTTTCTTTATGCGGGAGATGATATAATCTTTTTGTAAGTCACAAACGGGAAGACAACGCATAAAATGTTCTTTAATTAGGGACATCTGACGTTTTGTCTTCAGAGTACAGTGACAAAAGGCACATAATGTTTTCATTCGGGTCTGGTTGACCCGCATGATTAATG